TTCCTATGATAATGTGTCTTTCTTGAGATAAGGCGACCACCTTTGTATGCAGTATTCAAGATCTGGGCGTACCATGGTTTTGTATAGAGGCAATAAGATAATTTCTGTCTTCTTCTCTACCTCCTTTGATTAAATTCAAGACAAAAAGTGAAGATGTCAAATATATTTTGTGGGATAGAAACTCTAAAAATTGCAGGTTGAATTGCTTTAACTTTGGGTTCATTGAAGTCTTGGGTCTCCTGCATCCAGGGGTCTGGCAGAAATATGGATAATAAATCCCCTGGAGTGAGAAGTGAGGAACTGATCCAGACTAAGACAATCTCCAGGAAAGTCTCACTGAGATTCCTCACCAGGGTAGTAAGAAACCTCACAAAGGGAGTGATGGCCAGTGCTCCAGACACTCAAAGAGCCCCGACTTTGAATTCAGCACAAAGTTGCAGTTAATTATTTAGGCTGGATTTTGCAACGGGCTTAAGGCAGTGGCTCTCAAAGTGCAGTGTGTCTCCCCCCGCCCCCACACACACACCTTTGGAGCAGGGAGCACGCAGCACTCTGGCCTTGTTTTGGCCAAGCCCCAACCCCACTAAACCAGCTCAAAAGAGGCAGCGAGCAGAACCATGCTGCATTTCTCGTCTCCCTCCCACCCAGATCAGCTGGGGGAACAGCGATATAATCAAGGGCTTTCTTAGTGGGGAAGGGGGAAGCAGGAGAGAGTGTGAAGAGAAAGCAGAAGAAGTGGCTCTATGCTGCATTTCTCACTTCCCTGCCACCCAGATTGCTGGGGGGAACACCAGTATAATGATGGGCTTACCCTGCTGCTCTCATTGGCCAAAGTTACAGCCAATGGGATCAGCAGGAGACCATATTGGGACCCACGAAGGCACAGAGTTAGGTCAGCAGCTCCCTCCAAGCCCAGACTCTGTACCCCAGTCCTCTGCATTCCCTTCCCCCACCCTCCTGCCAAGTTCCCAAGTACTGTCCAGCACCTTCCTAGACCAGATCATATAAAGTCTGTCATTTTATTAATAGAAAATGGCCTGTGCAAATCTTCTTCTCAAGATGTTCCCAAATATTTCAATACACAGTAGTGACAGATGGCAGAACAAGGAACAATGGTCTCAAATTGTGGTGGGAGAGGTCCAGGTTGGATATTAGGAAAAACTCACTGGAATGGGTTCCCTAGGGAGGGGTGGAATCTCCACCCCTAGAGGTTTTTAAGTCCTGGCTTGACAAAGCCCTGGCTGGGTTGATTTAGTTTGGATTGGTCCTGCATTGTGCAGGGGGCCGTACTTGATGACCTTCTGAGGTCTCTTCCAGCTCTATGATTCTATCGCAGCAGGTCTGACCTTAGTCCAGCTCCTGAATTTGCATTCTCTCTCAAAAGCTATGCCATTGAATCTCAGTGACCAACCAGCTTTCACAAAGCAACCTGCCTCTATGTAAAGACAAAAAGCCTTACTGATAAAATATATCTTATAACCATAAAAGGGTCTAAGGAAAGCACATCTGCCTCATGAAGAGCCAAACATCTTCCATATGGAGACCTGGTAGCTTTTAGTATTCAAATCCCTCCACCTATGTTTTGCCCCCTTGATGAATGGTTTGTGCGAGTTTGCAAGACAGTTTCATTGGAGTTATTCCAACTTTGAGCAGGTATGTTGGACCAGATGATTCCTGAGGTCTCTTCAAAGCTTAATAGTCTATGATTTTGTCAAAATCAAGGCCCCTCAGCTTGGTTTCAATCCGACCTTTATACTTTAAAGACTATTTTTCAGGTCTCTTCAAACAGGCAAAAACAATTACTGCCACTTTTCCCAAAAGGCAAAGTGTCAAACCCTAGCTTTTGCATTAGTTAGGTTAGATCTTCACTAAACGGAAGATTAATGCTTCCACGATTGATCTTCCACAGTTTGATTTAGCAAGTCTTGTTAAGACTCCCTAAATCAAACTCAGAGGGTGTTCCCATCGGCAGCCAGTATTCCTGAGCCTGTGAGGAGTAACGGAAGCTGACAGGAGTATTTTCTCCCATTGATCTCCTGCTGAGGGGATGAAGGGAAAACTCAAAACAAGGTACATTGACTCCAGCTATGTAATTAACATACATATCTTGATTTGATCTTGCCTTTTAGTGTAGACATGGCCTCACCCTCTAGTGAGTCCAGATTCCACGGGAAACCCACCCAGTGAAACCAGAACACACAAATGCATATAACACGTATTGATACAAAGAGCTTTGCATAGTCTCTGCACACCTTTTCATATGACAGTCTGACATTGTCATGTTTCCTGAGTTTTTGCTCACCAACATACAGAAAACATTGATAAATTTAATGCAATAGCCTCAACATCATGCCTGTGTTTGTCCTTTCTATCCCAGAGGCACATAGAGGGCCAAATTCTGAGTAAATGTAACTTGGCTGAAGTCATTTACTTCTAATGAGGATGTTTTGTTTGTATGTAATTCTGTCAACTGATCCTTAGAAGAACAAACTCATACAAAGATGAAACAGAATGGGCTGCTGGTGGTTAAGTACAAAGTTGTACACGAGTGGACTAGCATTGTGTAAGACAGTGAAGAAATTCTCTAAAATGGGTCATTGAGACATGTCTTTTACTGTAGGTATAATTCTGCAATGGAATCTTCTAAACATGACCAGAGTCCTCCAAATTATTCACTGGTGTGAATGTCTCAAATTTTTAAAATCTAAAAGGCAAATAATAAAACCCACATTCAGTTATTATTATTATAAAATATTAGCAGCTCACATCCTTAAGTCAATTAATTTTTTGTAAAACAAGGAAAAGGTACATGCTTCACTTAAATTATTGTATTTTTCAAAAATACAGTGTTATTTTCATGAAGTTAATGTTTATTTTGGATTTCTTAAAAAAGGGGATTGTTAAAACTTTTCTCTTTTATTTTTTTTCTAGTAATTTTTTTAAGTGGCAATTTCATCAAGTGTATTTTTTTCTTCATCCCTATAAACTTTTAATTTGCTAAGTTTTAACAAAAACAGCTATAGTCAATTTGTTACAGTCAATGTTATTTGAAACATTTTCTTGTTTCTAACACTTAAACATTGATTTAGCTATGCCAAAGCAAAGCGCTACTCCAAATGTCTCTGTTTTATCTCTTTTCTGTAAGGTTTATTGAGAAGCAATCCCGTTCTAGGGTCAGCCTATTTTTCTTGCTCCCCTTGACTCAGTCTCTTTCAAGAGTCGCTCAGTTATGTCAGTTTTGAGGAATATACTTGATTTGGTGATTCTGTCTCTTTTCTGTTTGGGAATGTCTGCACTTACACCCTAGTTCGAACTAGGGATGCAAATGCAGGCATTCAAAATAGTCAATGCAGCAGGGATTTAAATATTCCATGCTTCATTAGCATGATCTCGTCGGTGTGCTAGTTTGAATCACAGCTGACAAAAAAAGGGAAGTAACCTTATTTCGAACCAAGGGGTTTTGTTTGAACTAATGCGTCCCGGCGCGCACTTCCTGGTTCGAATCAGCTGGCAAACGGAATAGCGCATGGGCAAGATTATGCTAATGAAGTGCGGGATATTTAAATCTCTGCTTCATTAGCAATTTTGGTCGGCTACGTTTTCATCCGTGGTTCAAACAAGGGAGCAAGTATAGACGTACCCTTAGACGTAGGAGGCACAAGATTGATTATCCACAAACATCTGTAGCGCCCCCTCTCCACCTGGTTACCTTCTTTTAGAGCCAATCTCCTTTCAGGTTCGGATGGATAGGTCTGGGTTCTTCTGGATCCCGCCACCTACTCAATTTTATTCTTTCTGATTGATGTACTTGGCGGTGCCTCCACCCCCCTCACTCCTTCCTAGCAGGGTTGCCAGGGCAGCTTGGGAGGAAAATTCTAGCCCAGGATAATCCCCACGTATTCGCCAGATAGTTGGAGACTCCCAGAAAATAACACAAACACATACACTATAATAAACACAATTATATTAAACAGGAGACAATTATAACAGAACAGGGTAAAACATTATTTTTAGGGTCACCGGTGCCCTGCAACTGTGAAGTTAGTGTCCCGTTGGTACGCGTACTTTGTTGGGGCCCTTGATGACTGTTGACCACACAATCCTTCTCTGCAGAGGTTTAGCAGTGGGGCTGACTAGGTCCAGTACAGCCCAAAGGACTCACAAATGGGAGAAGGCAGCAAATCCCTCCACAGTTTAATAGGCTGCAGGTAATAAAATCCCCAAACAAATTCCCTGACTTACTAACTAAAAATTGGTGCACTCACACACTCCATGAATGAGCCTCAGGTTGAGAGATGACTCAGTCTCTGCAAAGGGGCTGCTCTCTTCTCACAGGGGTCCTCTTCAAGCAGGAACCAGGCTGCTTCGGTCCCAGAATTTCCCCTCACCGCGAAGGGGTGCAGGGCTCAAGATGCAGACCACACAACTGCACCAAAATTCAAAACTACAGCCTCCCAGGCCAGCCTCCAGACCCACACAGCAGGCAGCAGCCCTGAACTTGCTGCTAGAGCCCAGCTGACCATGCAGTGACTCTCTCACCCAGGGAGCTGGAGAGCCAACTCCGCCTGGCTGGGGAAGCCTCCCAGCAAACTCCACAACTGGGAATCAACAGTGGAGACATAAACCCAGCTGAGGGATCCTGCCTTCAGGTCCCTAGAGGCTAGCTCTCAGGGGGAACCCTGCATGCAGGCCTGGGGCTTACTAGCTCCCACACACTCAGTCCTCCCCTTTTCCTGGCTGGCTCCAGACTCCCCTCAACAATGGTCTCTCCTTCCCCCTGGGAGGGGCATCTCACTCCCTGTGGGTTGCCGGGCAGACTCTGGCCCTGGTAGGGAGGGGGAGCCAAGGCAAACTCAGAGCCTCTCCCTGAGCTGCCAGCAGACAAAGCCCCGGGAATCCAAGCAATCTCCTTGGGGGTTACACATCAAACGAGTGATGTAGAGAACTCCCTCCCCTCGTCTCTCCCGCTTCTTCTTTAAACCCATTCCCAACATTCAAATTCACCACGAACACATCTTCCGACCTAACATCCTTGTAAAGGCCTCTTTCACTTCCTTGTTCCTCATGCTGTAGATCAGGGGGTTCAGCATGGGGATCACATAGGTATAAAACAAAGAGATGATTTTGTCATAGTCCATGAGGTACTTTGAACTGGGCCGCAAATACATGAAAGAGCCTGTTCCGTAGAAAATGAAGATGGCTGCTAGGTGGGAGGTGCAGGTAGAGAAAGCTTTGCGTTGGCCCTTGGAGGAGTTGATCTTGAGGATGGCAACCACAATGTATATATAGGAGACAAGGATGATCAAGAGAGTCGATGTTACCACCACAGCGGTACAGGTGAAATGTACAAGTTCTGTGGTGCGGGTGTCCGAGCAGGACAGCTTCAGGAGAGGGGGCACGTCACAGAAGAAGTGATTGATGACATTGGAGTGGCAGAAGGACAACCGGAATATAAAGATAGTTTGAACGACTGCATTCAGGCAGCTCACTAGGTATGACCCCAGCACCAGTGTCATGCAGAATCGTGTGGACATGATGACAGTGTAGAGCAGTGGGTTGCAGATGGCCATGAAGCGATCGTAGGCCATGACCCCCAAGAGGTAGCATTCACAGGTCAATGCGATGCATAAGAAGAAGAACTGGAGAGCACACTCAGTGAACAAAATGGCTTTCCTCGCAGCCTGTAAAGTCATCAGCGTGCTGGATGTGAGAATTGTGGTGTAACTGACATCTAGGAGGGCCAGGTTGCTGATGAAAAAGTACATGGGGGTGTGAAGCCGGGAGTCCATCTTGATTAAGGTGGCCAAGGTGAGGTTCCCCACAAGGGTCAGCAGGTAGATGAACAGAAATATGACAAGGAGGACGACTTGCAGCTTTGGGTTTTGTGTGAATCCCAGCAAGACGAACTCGGTCACGACAGTGTGATTCCTCTCTGCCATTATTCCAGGTGCACTTTCCTCCACAGACAAGAATGCGAGGAGGACACTGGAGGAGGAGACAAATAGGGGCTGAATGCAAACACCCCAATCTTTGTCACTTTCTACAGATCATAAACTCTAGGCTATAGGGTTGGAAAACAGAGGGGTGGATACAGCTGCAGCACCTCTGGGGCTGTTGTGTTGCGGGAGGGGTAGCTCAGTGGTTTGAGCAGTGGCTTACTAAACCCAGGGTTGTGAGTTCAATCCTTGCGGTGGCCATTTGGGGCAAAAATTTGTCAGGGATGGTACTTGGTCCTGCTGTGAAGGCAGGGGATGGACTTAATCACCTTTCAAGGTCCCTTTCAGTTCTAGGAGATAGGCAATCTCCATTAATTTAATTTAAAACCTCCTGGCTTTGGGCACAGTGTGGCCTGGCCTGGCACCGGCTTCCAGTCTGCACATAGGAACCCCTTTGTGACTCAGATTCCTGGCCGCTAGTCGCAGGGACCTGGCCACTGGGTACATGACTGGTCAGAGGCCGGAGTTCTGCAGCAGCGCTCAGCTGTGGCCCCAGACTGAGGCCAGAGCTCTGCAGAGTGGGGAAGGGCAGGGACAGAAGTAAGGGGGGCAGAGCAACAAGGGCAGGCTGGGCGCTGCAGGAAAGAGAGCTCCATTTAGCATTCCAGGCAGTGCCTCCAGCGTTGGTGCACAAGCCGCGTGGCTCCCTACTTGCGCTCCTTACGTCGCACTGAACTTGGTCCCTCCAGAAAATGAACTCTCTTCCTCTGGTTCCACACCTCACATTACCCTAGTGACACTGCCGTTCAAGCTGCAAAGCCATGTTTCTCCCAAGCAGAGTATTACAGCCCTGTCTTTCTGGGAAAAAGGAGACAGAACTATGAAGCACTTCAAAGACTAACAAGATGGCTTATTAGGTGATGAGCTTTCGTGGGCCAGACCCAATTCCTCAGATCAATATGTGGAAGAAAATCAACACAACCATATATACCAAAGTGATACAATCAAAAAAATGAACGCGGGTGAAATTGACAAATCAAATTTTAGAATCAAATTTTAACCCCTATGTTATTACCTAACAGAAACTAACCTTCTCCCGTCACCCAAACTCTGTTCTAAAATTTGATTTGTCAATTTCACATGCATTCATTTTTTTTATTGTAACACTTTGGTATATACGGTTGTGCCGATTTTCTTCCACATATTGATCTGAGGAAGCTGCATCCCTTTTCCGGAAAAGGGATGCAGTGTAGACACAGCCAAACTGTCAAATTTAAGCATGAATGACCATTCTGAAGCTTCTTGTTGAAGTCTGGAGTTAAAGTCTTTTTGAAGCAATATGCATGTTTTAAGGTCATTGAGGGAATGGTCAGTCTGGCTGAAATGGCAAGCAACAGCTTTCTCTCTGTGAGAGAGTCTTATGTCTGTTTTGTGTGCGTTGATTCTTTGGCGAAGAATCCTTCAGTCAGAGAATCTGATCCCATTCCTTTTCTCTCTTGCATAACAACTTACCTTAGCTGGTAGTGCTAGTCACTTCCATGGGAGCAGTGGTGGGGTGTGATGTCCATGGGCCTGTTGTGTTGAGACTCAGCGGCTGAAATCCACGAAGTGAACTTAGGCAGCTCCCCCTCAGCTGAGCAAGCAACATTCTGGGATGCTCTAACAGGATTGCTATGAGCAAGACACACAAAGTCATTCTTCCGCTCTACTCTCTACACCTCCAGATCAGCTATTAGAAGAGGGCCTCATCCTCCTTGATTGGATCCACCTCGTCATCTCCAGCCTGATCCTGGCCTGCATATTTATACCTGCCTCTGGATATTTCCACTACATGCATCTGACGAAGTGGGTCTTTGCCCACGAAAGCTTATGCTCCTACACTGCAGTTAGTCTATAAGGTGCCACAGGACTCTTTGGCGCTCTACTCTGTACTGATTAGGCCTCAGCTGGAGTCTTGTGTCCAATCTGGGCACCGCACTTCGGGAAAGATATGGAGAAGTGGGAGAGGGTCCAGAGAAGAGCAACAAAATGATTAAAGGTCTAGGAAATATAAGGGAAGACCGAAAGAACTGGGTTTGTTCAGTCTGGAAAGAGAAGACTGAGGGGGCCATAACAGCTTTCAAGTATCTAAAAGGCTGTTACAAGGAAGAGGAGAAAAATTGTTCTCCTTGGCCTCTGAGGAGAGGAGACTAAGCAATGGGTTTAAACTCCAACAAGGAAAAAACTTCCTAACTGTCAAGGTGGTTAAACACTGGAATAAATTGCTTAGTGGAATCTCAGTCATTGGAGATATGTAAGAGCAGGTTGGATAGAACGAAATGAATTTTAATGTTGGTACATGCACATTAATGCAGATCGGAAAACATCATCCCAACATTTCGTATGGGAACTAATTTAGCTGTTACTACTCCAGAGAGAGATCTTGTGTGGATAGTTCTCTGACAACATCCATTCAGGCTACGTCTACACTGGCATGATTTTCCGAAAATGCTTTTAACGGAAAAGTTTTCTGTTAAAAGCATTTTTGCAAAAGCACGTCTAGAGTGGCAGGACGCTTTTCTGGAAAAGCACTTTTTGTGGAAAAGTGTCCATGGCCAATCTAGATGCGCTTTTCCACAAAAAAGCCCCAATCGCCATTTTCGCAATCGGGGCTTTTTTGTGGAAAACAGAACTATGCTGTCTACACTGGCCCTTTCGGGCAAAAGTCTTTCAGAAAAAGACTTTTGCCCGAATGGGAGCAGCATAGTATTTCTGGAAAAGCACTGATGATTTTACATTAGTGCTTTTCTGGAAATTCAAGCGGCCAGTGTAGACAGCTGGCAAGTTTTTCCGGAAAATCAGATGATTTTCTGGAAAAACTTGCCAGTCTAGACACAGCCTCCCTGACAGGTGTCTGTCCAACCTGTTCCTACATATCTCCTGTAGGCAATTTATTCTAGTGTTTAATCACCCTAACAGGCAGGAAGTTTTTCCCAGTTAGACATTTATCAGGGATGATCTAGACGGTGCTTGGTCCTTCCGTGAGGGCAGGGGACTGGACTTGATGACCTCTTGACGTCCCTTCCAGTTGTAGTGTTCTATGATGTCTTAAATTGCAGTCCATAACAGCCAGCATGATGCTAAGTGGGGAGCCCTAAGCTAGCCAACGGGGCCTGCTGATTTGCTAAGTGCTGCTCCTTTATCGGAGGTAGGCACATACAGTGAGGCATGAAAGGAGGTGCCCAGTGTTCCACCAAGTGGTACCCCTCTCCTGACATAGTAGTTTGTCAAGGGAATGAATTAGCTTAGGGCCTCCTTCTGCACAAGGAGACTGTAGTGCCGATACCTCCCTTAGATATATATGTGAGACCCAGCCTCAATTCCCCCCTGCCTGTGAGAGGGGGAAGAAAGGATTGAAATAGGTTTCTCCCGCCTCTGAGGTGAGCGCTCTGCCCACTGGGTTCTGGGGCTTGCCTGCTGAAACGATTCCAACGTGCATAAAGAAAGCGTGATTGGGCCCAGGGTCTCCGGCCCATGAGTCAAGCCCCCTCGCCCCTTTCTCTGCTCCGAGCATTCTCCAGCAGCTCCACATTCCACAGCCCGGCTGGACATCCCCACCGACCCCTGGGCCTCAGCGCACAGTAGAGGAATGTCCCTTTGTTATCTCCACGTTGCCTCCTGTTCTCCTATTTCTCTGTCTGTGCGGCACAGGCCAGTCCTCCAACCCCCTGGCCTCCTGCAGGCCGAGAGTGCAAGTGTGAGTATCAACACGGCGTCATTGAGGCTTCTTGTTTGATGAGGGACAAAAATAGGGAGCGTGGAGGTGAGGAGGTTTTTGGGGGTAGCAGGAGAGCGGAAGCTCCCCTAGACTCCCCTCTTCAGGGCTTTGACACCCTTTCTTCCCCACACGCCTCAGTTCTATTCTGACCTCTCCCTTGGCCTGCAGACCCGCTGGCTTTCATCAGTGTCCTACCGCTGCTGCCCAGGCCAGTTTCCCTCAAAGGACTTTCCTTTTCTCAGAGAGACACTAAGTGGGATCAACCCCGAGGAGGTGAGAGCAGTCTGGGGAGGAGCAGAGCCCTCATGTGCCGAGGATGTGCCCAAAATAACATGATGAGAATAGCACAGTTCTGATGTCAAGTGACTTTTCAAGGGGCTCTCCCTTGCACATCCCACATTTCAGCCTCTAATCCTATGAGGATCCACAATTTTCGAGAGTCTGCGCAAGGCTGTGGATTTTAGAGCACAATGAAAAACAATCTGTTCGGCAGTAAATGAATTTCAATCTCAACTACAATAGAGTTACTGCTCTCTGCTAGTTAGCCAGATCCTCAACTAGGCTGTGTCTAGACTGGCCAGTTTTTCCGGAAAATCAGCTGCTTTTCCGGAAAAACTTGCCAGCTGTCTACACTGGCCACTTGAATTTCTGCAAAAGCACTGACTTCCTACTGTAAGAAATCAGTGCTTTTTGCAGAAATGCTATGCTGCTCCCGTTTGGGAAAAAGTCCCTTTTGCGCAAAACTTTTGCGCAAAAGGGCTAGTGTAGACAGCTCAGATTTGTTTTGCGCAAAAGCGCGTCTAGATTGGCCACGGATGCTTTTCTGCAAAAAGTGCTTTTGCAGAAAAGCGTCCGTGCCAATCTAGACGCTCTTTTCCAAAAATGCTTTTAACGGAAAACTTTTCCGTTAAAAGCATTTCCGGAAAATCATGCCAGTCTAGATGTAGCCCTAATGTAAGTGGAAAGTAGACTTTAATGGAGTATCCCCAGCTGAGGGTGTAGCCTTCTGAGAAAAATCAGAACTCCAAAGTCCATAAATCTGATCTCCATAAGACCTGGCTTGGAATCAGAATTACTTCGAATTGCCAGAACCAAAAGAGAATATTTATTCCACTTCCATGGGAACCAGAGCAATTCAACATACCTGCAGACGAGAGGCATCCGTTGCTATTGGCTGGAAAGTGGATTGCGTTTGGATGCCACAGGGTTTATTTATATACTTATTTCTGTAGCATTTAGGGAGAGACTCCTTGGAGAGCCCAAGCATTTCACAGTTCAGGGCAGACACAGGTGGGGTCATTAAAACCTTCTGGTCCCCAAGGGAGCAGCACACAAAGACGTGCTGTGTCCAGTTGCTGAAGTAGTAGGCTTTGCCCATGAAAGCTCATGGTCCCATCTACATGTTGTGTTAATCTATAAAGTGCTACCAGACCGTTTGTTGTTTTTTAATCAGACTTCCAAGTTTGTTTGTTTTTTCTTCCCCTTTTCTTTGTTCCAAAGAGAACTGGCCCATTCCTCCACTCCCGTCCCCTGAATCCTGATCAGATACTCTTGAGGTAACTCACCTCAGAAGGTGCAAAACGTGACATATACTGGGAAACAGATTCATATTTGGTTCCTTTGAATTAGAGCCCTGCAAATCAGTGGCTATCCACGTTATATCCATGGACCATTCTTGTGGATCACAGCCTGGAGACAGACACAAACTTTGTATCTAGAAGCCCTGCCGATTTGTGGCTATTCACTTGATAGCCACAGATGGTTTTTGTAGTTTGGATGTGGATACCATTTTTTGTCTGATATTAGTGTCTTGAGAGCTATGGATACATGGCCGAAAATGTCAATAAGGCTTGGTTGATATCAGCCTAGGTGTTTAAATATGGGCACTCAGAGTTAAAGAATATTTTTTTTAAAAATGTGAGTACTTCCCTATATGCCTCCATTCTTCGGTATATGAAATGAAGCTAATATTTTCCGTGGGACTTGTATTTGTCACCCCCTTAGGCACTTCTGAATGGTTCACCCTGGAAAAATGGCTTTTCCAGACGTGTTTTCTCGTTGAACCACCAATCTAGGAATTTTCTCTGTCATGCTGCCAGTTCATCCCCGTAAAGCCGCACAGGCTGCAGTCATGCTAGCAAATCCCCTCACCTCATGTCATCGCAAAAAGCAGTGTTACCCCCCTCATATCCACTCAGATTGTTACTAATCGCGTATTTTCCTAGCCCATTGCTTAGACCAGGGCTACTCAACTTTGGAAGCCGCAGGAGCCACAATAATACTCACAAAACATGCTGAGGGCCGCAACTTAAGTGTGGTAGCATATATATGCAAATATATGCAAATAGTTTTTCACACGGATGGGCATAAATACAAAGATTAAGGCAAGACTGCATAACACACACGCCCCATTTTAGTCAGTTCTGCTAATATTAATAACCCAACCCAAATGACAGCACTTTTAGGGTATATCTAGACTACGTGCTTCTGCCCACAGAGGCATGTAAATTAGACATACCAACATAGTCAAAGAAGTGGGGATTTAAATATCCCCCGCTCATCAAAATAAAAATGGGCCCCCGTAAAATGATGAGTGGCTTAAAAAAATTGAGATCCTTTTGATGTGCCTTCTGTGTGTGCAGCCTTTGGATGACACTCAGGTCATGTCAAGCTTTTCGCCACCATCACATGGGCTAGAAACATACTCAGGGTGGCTGCAGTGTAGATTAGAGGGAGGTGGGGTGGAACCACACTCTGTAATCCCCATGTCCTAGTCAACGTACAGACAGATTCTGGTACTGGAACTCAGGCTGGTAGCCTGGTTGGGTGAGGCAATGTGTCAGGAGGAAAGGGAACATTGGGAAAGAACGAAAGGTTGGGAATGGTTTTAGGAATATGTTTATGAACCCGGGATGAATAGAATAGTCCAAGAAGGCTAATGGCATATTAGGGTGTATTAGGAGGAGCACTGCCAGCAGATCTAGAGATGTGATTATGCCCCTTAATTCGGCTCTGGTGAGGCCACATCTGGAATGTCGTGACCAATTCAGGGGCCCCCAATACAGAAAGGATGTGGACGCATTGGAGAGGGCAACAGAAATGACGAGGGGTCTAGAGCACATATTACTTATGAGAAGAGGCTGAGGGAGTTGGGTCTATTTAGTCTGCAGAAGAGAAGAGTGAGGGGGGATTTGAGAGCAGCCTTCAACTTCCTGAAGGGAGATTCCAAAGAGGCTGGAGAGAGGCTGTTCTCAGTGATGGCAGAACAAGGAGCAATGGCCTCAAGTTACGGGGGAAGGAGGTCTAGGTTGGATATTAGGAAGAACTATTTCCCTAGGAGGGTGGGG